TTATTGTAATGAATGTTCATTTAGTGAAATTTACAACGATCTGAATTTTGTCTAGTTAACTTCATAGAAAAAGAAAGCATTTAATACATATATCATTGCTGCTTGGGACCATATCCAACATAGGAAGTTTTTAGCGCACGACTCTTGTGACGTATGTTTCCTTTGATAGCAACCTCCTTGGCTAGGTTGGCCAAAGCTAGGAGATGTGCTTGGAGGGGTGTTTCCTTGGATGGATGGTGCGATAAAGTGGTGGTAAATCGTCAAAGGATGATGAGATAAGGTGTGGATGGTGTAGAAGCTCACAATCTCTAGTGTTTGGTGGCTCCGAAGGCCAACTCAAGGAGGAAGGTGACTATAAGGGTCTCTAAGATTGCTCTAGTCTTGATCTAGGAAATGTATGGCCAAATTTGGGCAACATAACATTAATAAACTTCCAAGATGATTACAAGAGAGGATACACCTCTATATATAGGCAAGGGTGTCTCCTAAAAGCCCTAAAAGCATGATCTCCCACCTTTGCACTCATTGATTGAAAATAAGGCATTCTAAGATGTGGATAAGTGTCCACTAATCCTATCTAATGATGAGAGGACATGTGACTACTCACAAAACACAATCTTCTCCATTCTTAAAGTGTCATGTGGTCACTACTAAAGCTAAATCCTTTCCAATGGAAGCATGACACATGATACATAATTTTCACATGGTTTGAATGTCTAGCCTTAAGGAAAAATCCTATACTAATTAGGTCTTAATACAAGCCTTAAACAAACTTACACTACTTGTCCAAAATACATGACTTAATTTAAACCTATATTACTCCAAGCTATGCTCCATGATGACTTCAAAAGGTAGAGTTTAGACCATTTTCATAGATGACTTCAACTCTTCTTGTAGATGCTTGGCCATGGCTAGGGGATTTTCCATCAATATTGCTTTGGTCAATGCCTCCCTCGCCTTGAACTAGACCAAACTACATGTCTAATGATTGAAATACACGAGGAACAACACTTCCACCAACACCTTTTGACCTTTTCACCATCATCATCTTTATTCTTGTCTTCAATCAACTTTTCTAAAACATAAACTGAAGCTTCAAGTTCTTCAATTACCAAATCTTGTTCCTCTAAAACACATATAAGAACTTCTTTATGTGTGTTATTATGTGTTCTTTTTTAATCGTTGAATTCCTCACCACTTTTTTCAACTACTTCTTTGACAACTGCATGACAAAGTTCTTCTCTCGACACACCAAAATCATCAATCACCTGAAAAAAAAATTTCATTCTAAAGATCCATTCATTCCTAAGTGACAATACATATAACACAAAAATCTCAAATAACCAAGTACACACCGCAACATTTTTCATAACATGTTTGATGAAATTCTCAACCGCATTTATATTAATTCAATGCAACACCCTCGAAAATGTACTTACGCAAGAGTGATAACTCATAAAATGATCCTAAAACTATACCTTAAAAATGTCAAAAACCGAAAACTAACTCACATACCACTCCAACACATAGATAATTTACATTTCAATAAATATACATGATTTATTTGCAACATGTAAACACATCTAACAATATGCATGTTGGTTGTAGTTTTTCTATTCTTGAATGCTATTGAAGCATTACATAAACTACACAGCAAATAGTGATAAACTAAATTTCCCAATTATACTGATCTACACACCTTAAGTCATCAACAATCTTAAAAAGAATGAAAAATACTGTTCCGTTATGATTAGGCAGCAAAACCTCACATATCCCTAACAAAATGTATAAGGTACAAAAATGTGCTAAAGGAAAATTTGCGTGTTCTTCCAACAAAAATATATATAAGATTGATATATTCCTACATTAAGTATGTACACCAATCCCGTTTGAATTAATTTTTTCTTCAGCTAAACTCAACCCTAACTCTAAGCATACATCCATTTCCTTAAATTCTATAACTTTCTCTCCAAAACAAAACTCATCCCTCTAGTCAATCCATCTAACACATAACTCATTTAACATACTCCTATCAATCTTAACATTTTCATGCAACTCTAAAAACCAATCAAATGGGGTACTTTGAATAAAACACATTTGTTCTGGAGTCAATCTTAAATTTAAAACATCAACTAACTTTGTTTTGAATGAATGTCGCGCATACACCTGCATTAAAAATTACCTTATTAAGTCATGACAATGGAAAAAGGAAAAACTGAAAAGGAAAGGAGGAAAGGATAAAGGGGGAAGGGTGAAGGGAAAATTGGCTTTCCAAGAATGATACCTTGCTCTCATAACCATATTCACTGGATTTCTTCATTTCACAACCCACAACAAAAATAAAAATGAAAAAGACCTATTGGCAAAAAAGACCATTGAAACAAAGGACAACAACTTCTTGACACCAAAGATGAGAAACAAAAGAAAAGAAATATCATCGATATGCATCAACAAAAAATAAGTAATCGAGACACGTCACAAAGAAATAATAGAGAGAAGCAAATCAAATCTAAACCGCTTTTCCAGAAAATATAATAATTTTTTTAAAAAATTGTCAATAACTCAATTTATCTCCAATTCTAAGTTTTTTTGCATTTAAAAAGAAATTTCGAATGGACCAATAACTCAATTAAATATGAAGTTGAGAAAAAGTTGTCAAAATTTTATTCTCAATATATCACGAATTTAATTTGATGATAGAGATTTCCCATATTGAGAAATGAAAGAAATAAAAGGTTATTAATTTTGGGAAAGAAAAGAGAAAAAAAAGAAAAAATTAAGATAAAAATATAATAATGTGATTTATTTATTTGAGGGTGGGAGGGCATAAAAAGTAAGTGTGAAGAAAGTGGTGTGTGGCAGAGGCAGTGCATCCCACATCTCTTCTCTCTGTGATTCATTGTGTTTGAGTCTGGGTGTGTAGAAAGATGGGAAAAGGTGGATCTCTGAGCGATGGCGTTGTGAAGAAGATCGTGCTATCGTACACCTACGTTGCCATATGGATCTTCCTCAGCTTCACTGTAATCGTCTACAACAAGTACATCCTCGACAAGAAGATGTACAACTGGCCATTCCCAATCTCCCTCACCATGATCCACATGTCCTTCTGCGCCACCCTCGCCGTCCTCCTCGTCCGCGTCTTCCGCCTCGTCGAGCCAGTCTCAATGTCACGCGAGGTATACCTCTCCTCCGTCGTCCCCATCGGAGCCCTCTACTCCCTCTCCCTCTGGCTCTCCAACTCCGCCTACATCTATCTCTCCGTCTCCTTCATCCAGATGTTGAAGGCTCTAATGCCCGTCGCCGTATACTCCATCGGCGTCCTCCTCCGCAAAGATTCCTACAAAAATGACACCATGCTCAACATGCTCTCCATCTCCCTCGGAGTCGGCGTCGCCGCTTACGGGGAAGCGCGTTTTGACGCCTGGGGCGTCCTCCTCCAACTGGGCGCGGTTGCCTTCGAGGCCACGCGCCTCGTCATGATCCAAATCCTCCTCACCTCCAAGGGGATCTCGCTCAACCCCATCACCTCGCTCTACTACGTCGCCCCCTGCTGCCTCGTCTTCCTCTCCATCCCCTGGATCTTCGTCGAGTACCCTGTCCTCCGAGACACTTCCACCTTTCAGTTCGATTTCGTGGTCTTCGGGACCAACTCCTTCTGTGCCTTCGCGCTCAACCTCGCAGTTTTTCTCCTCGTCGGGAAGACCTCGGCACTGACTATGAACGTCGCTGGCGTGGTGAAGGACTGGCTCCTGATTGCCTTCTCGTGGTCAGTTATCAAGGACACCGTGACGCCGATTAATTTGTTCGGTTACGGGCTGGCGTTCCTTGGCGTGGCGTATTACAACCACTCCAAGTTGCAGGCGCTGAAGGCCAAAGAGGCGCAGAAGAAGACCGCCCAAGCCGATGAGGAGGAAGGGAGGCTGCTCGAGGAGAGAGAGGCCGACGGAATGGGCAAGAGAAACGACCAGCAGAATTAATTGCTTTAATTAATTAATTAATTGATTAATTCATTTTCTGTTTCGTTTACACAGATTCCAGAGAAAAAAAGTCGGTACGAGGAAAATAAAACCAGGAGGTTTCGATTTGAGCGAATATATGGCAATGGCATCGTCCTCTCTGGCCTAATTACCGGTTCGGTACGGCTTTTTTTTTGGGTTTATTTATAGATCCTCTTCTAGTTGCCAATGGTGGCCGTGGATAGTTAATTAGTAGGTTTGGATTTGAGATTCCTGCTTTTGTTTTGCGTAGAGAACAATTACGTGTTACTGGAGCCAGAGTCTCTTTTCCTTTTATCATTATTAATTTTTTTTTCTCCCATTTGCTTTTTTGGTGGTTTAGTTTTATGCTCTGTTGTTGTAGGAACTCGATTTATGGAATTTACATGGTTATTAATTCTCAGTACATTTCTGTTATGTGATGTTTCTTCTGCTGCTATTGTGATTTTGGGATTTATCTTGCATAACCGCGAGCTGATGATGAACTGAAAATGGTTTAACTCTTATGAGAAACTGAAAATGTTCTAACAAAACTCTCCCTTAAACTTAAATGTTATTTTTTCTTTCCTCCAGACTTTTCAACTGCCGCAACCCACATCAAACTTCTCCTTTAATTAACAGTAACAATTGTGTTCGTCAGTTTCACCTTGGTCGACTTTTCCAATACTCTGGCCGACTTGTTCTTCATCTTGGCCGTCTTGACCTTTCAAACTTTAAGTAATACTCATGAAGCTTGATGCGCCAATTCTTATAGAAAAGGCCCGCTTCATGCAGAATAGCCTTCCGTACCATATTTGTATGTGGAAGTCTCCAATTGTTCAGCATATTTTGTACTATTGTATCCCTTTCTTCCACTGGTGCACATTAAGACGTGCATTTTGACGAACAATAATAGAAAAATCAGTAATGAAATCATTGCGGCCTGAACCTATTTCCACCAGCTTTGTTTGGATAAATGAGAACATTTAACTTTCCATCTGCACTTTGACCAAAATAATTAAGAACTTAGGCTATTTGATCAGCTAAGTCGTCAGCAGAAAGAATTGGACCGTCTGGATCAATGGCAGCAGCTCCCAACTCATGCTCCAGTTCAGACAGAAGATCAGCATCCAAACTAGGAACCCACCCGTGATCCCTGCAAGCTGCCAGAAAACTTCTCAATATAACACCATTTGGCTCCATAGGCGTGCCCTTGATAATATCATATGCCTCTTGAATCAAGCCAGATCTTCCTAGCAAGTCAACCATGCATCCATAGTGTTCAACACTCCGTTTTATGCTATACATTCTCACCATCCGATCAAAATACCTTCGCCCTTCACAAACGAGTCCAGCGTGGCTGCAGGCCAAGAGAATCACAGCAAAAACCAAACTCTCCGGTTGCAGACCCATATCCTCCATATGGTTAAACAAAGAGATAACATCTTTATGTCTCCCATAATCAGCAAGAACCGTCATCTTGACAGTGCAGAACTGCAAATTCTTGCCATCCATTGAATTGAAAACGACAACAGCCTCGTCAATTTTTCCACACTTAGCATGCATGTCAAACAAAGTTGTTCCCTATGCAACATCCATTTCCATGTGACTCGTTACAACTTAGGAATGAATGAACTCACCAGCACGGACATCAAGGATTTTAGTACAACCAGGAAGCAAGCTAACCAATTTATCAGTAGTCTCTTTCATCTCTTCTTGGAGCTTCTCATTTCTAACATTAGCGGCCTCAATCTCACTCTCTCGCCGCTCCACAACTCGTTCACACTAGGCCTATCCGCGATCTCCATGAAGCTGTCCGAGTTCTCCATCAACTCCTCCAAGCTCTCTACCGAGCTATGTAGATACTCTTCTGTGCTTCCGTCACCAATTTCCAGGCTCTTACTTGGCAGTTCAACATCCAAGCTTGGTAGCTTGGCGTGCTTAGCAACTCTACATCCAGGCTTCTTGCCATCAAGAGTATTCCAATTTCTTCATCGGCTTCCTCAATGAGGAAATTTGTCTCATTCTTTTTCTCATCTTGACAATATTTTGCTATATGACCGGTCTTACCACAATAGTAACATTTGACCGACCTGCACTCATTCGCATAGTGACCATGTTTGTCACATTTATAGCATTTAACATCATACTTACTTGACCGACCACCTCAGTCTCACCTTTGTCCATCGCCACATTAGTTTTGCTGACCAGTTTGCTCCTTGTTGTCTTCATAATTACTTCCATCATCATTTTGACCACGACCTCCTCGTCCATAGCTCTTCCTCCAGGAGCACCTCAGCCTTGAGTATTCCAAACACCTCCCTACAGGTCAAGTTTTGCCTGAAATACTGATCAAGTGACTCAAACAATGTTCTCCTCTGCTGTTCGTGTGCCTCCAAAGACCCAGCAAGCTCTTCAACAGAGAGCATGATTCCTTGGACTCCTCAATTGCACACGCAATATTCTTGAAGTCCTTAGTCCGTGGTCTTAGGATCTTCTCCATAATAAGGCTGCAAGACAACTCCTCTTCATTTTTTCTGAGTTGATTTGCTAATACCTCCACTCGAAATATATATTCGGTCACTCGTTTTCTACTTTCCATTACTTTCAAACTCGCCTATTAGTATTTGAAGTCTAACTTGCTATACACGGTAATCACTTTACATGGTTATTAATTCTCAGTACATTTCTGTTATGTGATGTTTATTCTGCTGCTATTGTGAATTTGGGATTTATCTTAGATAACTGCGAGCTGACGAGGAACTGAAAGTGGTTTAACTCTGATGAGAACAGGCTTTTGCCTTATTGATTTCTCTGTTCGGTTGGATGTGTTGTTCACTGTTGAGGGTTTGTAAAAGTAACTTTTGATCTCTTGCAATTATGGTCGTTTCCCTTGTTTTGTGTGGTTCCGTTCCGTGTAGCGGTACTGGATCTTCTTTTTTGCCCCACATCGAAGGCAGGGACCAGGTCAGATGCACTGTCATCGGAAATACTAGGATGTTATATTTTAATGCAACTATGATTGGGCCATCGTTATAGAAATTTAATTCATTTATGAAGAATGATTCAAGACGTTAATATTCTGTAAATTGGTTTTTTGATGTTCAAAACGCGTTAGTGTGAAATGGACGCCTGATGTTGCACTCAGTCTTTGTTGGTATCTGCATATTGAATGCTTGATTATGTTCTTATCACCGCTTTCTGTCGCTCTCTTTGCCCCCATTCCACCTAATTCCTCCTAGTAGGACAATTGCAACAGTCCTTGTTTGATTGGGAAAATGGCATGTTTTCACTGATATTTCTCTGTCCAACAAACTCGAAAAGGCTACATGCTTTTCTGCTTTTCTTTTTTCGTGAATAATGTTCCAACTGTTAAAGACCTTTATTTATTTACAGTATTGTCTGCCTTTGCACAACGCAGAGTGTGATCTGCCCAACTTTGCGCCGCGTTTGTCTGATTGCTTGTCTAAACTGTTAGATGTAGCATCGCTTGTTACAAACGCAGAGTAATATTTCCATTATATTGTTTTTCTCTAACGGATTGACGAGTTACAGCAGAAAGCAAAAGCATAGTTTTGTTGTTTTATTAAAGTGTGTATCAGCTGAAACACTAGGATAAATACACCCAATTACCCTCCTCTTTATTTGGTTTGGCAGTATCCAACACGTGTCATCACTTTTGCCCAGTAGATACCCATTCATTATCCCAGAAGAGGTATATTAATTGCTAGGCAGGTAAGCATTAACGCTGACTTACCATTTTTGGAAAAAAC